GGCAAAAACTATACGCACGGAATCAGTATGATAGCGATACGTACGGGCGTCGGCTCATCAGACCGCGCACTCGTAAAAACCGCACACGCTCGCGTAAAGACACGATCGATCAAGCGCAAGAAATAACGAAGCAAAACCGCACGACAAGATCGAACGCCACGCCGAGACTCACCTTGCCATCGAACAGATCCCTGCTGCGCCGAGCCGTTCCTCAGCTTCTCGCATTTCTCGGCCGAAACCTTGGCTTCCTTCACGGGGAAGCCCAGCTCGAGATGATGGATCCTGGCTCGGCGCCTGACAGTCTTCGACGAACACTCGCCCGAAGATCGCAGCGTCGTACTCCGATCGCCTAGGAAGAATGCTCGTGTGACAACCCAGCGTGGCCGTCACGTTCGAATTGGCGCTGTCGGCGAAAAAAAAAATAGATCAGAAAAAAAATTCACGAGAATAAATCTACGTGCCGTTCAATCACATCGAAGGCCCTGACGTCGTAAAAAATTAAATCGATTCAGAAAACCAAATGCAGAGGAAGCAATAAATCTAGCCGGAATATACGCAGGGAGAAAGTTACGAGCTGAGTCGGCTCGGAATGATCCAAGAGATAGGCCGGATCAAGAATGCAAATATAAACAAGGAGAGGAAGCGCCGCCATATCGTGGCCCAAATTTGGCGTTCGGCAGGAGACCTAGAACAATTAGTGTTCATTTGTCTCGGGTTCAATCTTGCACTAGCCGTTTTCAGGCTGATTAGCGTCCCATGAATGGCGGCCTTTGAGACGAAAAGCACACAGCCATTCGCTTCCTCTCCTTCGTTATGTTTAGCTCTTGGCCGCGGAAAGATTGATTTCAAAAGAAATGTATTAAATGTGACACAATATATGAAATTAATTATCCATAAAAATTTCACGACGACGTTACACAAATAATAATATTATTTAGCCATTAAGAATGTTTAAAACACAGTTATAAAAACAATAACAATGCACACCTGGACGGTCAAGCGACGCGCCGGCGTGACAGACTGCCGCCTGCAAAACTGTTCTCAGTGACAACGGCTCGGCGTCGCGCCGTAAGGTGGACGCCGCGCAAGCTGTGCTGCAGCGCGCGGAGCGGCGGCGGTGGTAGGCTGCGCGATGAGCGGTTAGGCCGACGGCGACGTCTCCACGCGTGACGTTCGCCGCGACTGTCGTCGGCGCGCGGACGCATCCTCGCGACGTGACGAGGTTCTACCGGCTGCTCCTGTCTCGGCGTGAACGCGACCTCCGGACGACCATCGCTTGCCTCTGCCGTGGCCCGGCACCTCGTCGCGACCTTTGCAGAGTGTCAGTCGCCACGCGGGCCCGAGCTCGTCCGTGCACGAGTCACGCTCGCCTGCTGCTGCGCGGCGGCGACGGGCGGCCTCCACCTGCCGCTCGCGTCGCACTCCCGCCGCACGGCCGACAACGATCGCCGATGCCTCGGCGGCTCTCCAGCCGCCTCCGCCGCGCCCCCTGCCTCGCCGTCGCGTCTCGGGGCGGGGGCGCGCACCCGACGATCCAGGCTTCTGATGCTCGACCGCGCGGGCGGCGGAAGCGGGGGAGGATCGGACGCGGCGCTGTGGACTGCGCGTGGCTGGAGGCGCCACGCTGTAGAGGCGACGGGTACGTGTGCCGCCTTGCCGCCGCGCCCGCCTGCTGCCCGACCGTGCGCATCGACAGACCCTGCCGTGTCGGCGCGCCTCGAGCGATCGGCCGAACGCGTCGTCGTCGCCGCCGCCGCCGCGGAGATCGCTGCCCCGCGCGACGCCGAACAGCCTCCTTTCGCCCGACGCGAGTTCGGCTTGCAGCAGTGCGCTGGTCCGCCGACGCGGCAGCGCGCGCTGCAGCGGGCCGTCGTGAACGGCGTCCGCTCGGCGGACAGCCAAGGAAGGTCCGCTCCCGAGGTCGCGAGCGCATGAAGAACGTGCGATTGCGGCGGACCCGTGCGGACCCGCCGCTGCAGCCGCCGCCGCCGCGGTCGTCGTGCGGTCCGTCGAACTCCGTCTTCCATGGCGACCGGCGGCGCGCCGGCGAGAGCGCTCTCGTCTCCAAGTTGTCGTTCTCGTCGTGGTCGTGCCAACGAGGCGGCGGGCGACAGCGCGGCCTGGCTGCCGCGTCGGCGACCGCAGCAGCGCCGGCGCGTTTCCGCGACAAAAAACGCACACTGCTTATCTATATTTATCGATATGCATAACAAGTTTGTCTTCTGTTTCTTTTTATGCAGGATAATTGGGCTCTGCCTGCTGCAGAACGAACTCTGTCCATTCCACTTCAACCGTTATTGATACGCGTAACAAGTTTGTCTTCTGTTTCTTTTTATGCAGGATAATTGGGCTCTGCCTGCTGCAGAACGAACTCTGTCCATTCCACTTCAACCGTCACGTGATCAAGTACGCACTCGGGCACAAGATCGGCTGGCACGACCTCGCGTTCTTCGACCCCGTCATGTACGAGAGCCTGCGACAGCTGATCCTCGACGCCGAGCCGAAGGCAGCCAGCCTCATGTTCGCTGCCCTTGACCTGACCTTCAGCATCGACTTTCGGCCGGAGGAGGTAGGACGCAGCGGCGACGTGGTTCGAAGCGCGTGACGTATATATGTCGCGCTGCTCAGAGGACATGCTCCGTTTGAAGCGCGTGACGTATATATCATTGTAATATCGTGCTGCTCGGAAGGTGCGCTCCATTGCGTTAGATGCACCCGAAATTTAGAAGGTTATGTATGTAATCTTAACGTAATTGTAAGAATACGGCGTATAATGGCAATCGTCAAATTGCGAAAATTTCTCGATGGCCGTAGTTAGCTTGTCAATCAGTTGTCTTCGGTCAGATATTCTATGTAGTGTGCTGCTCATGGTTATAGCATGTAATTGTAATAATACAGCGTATACCAATATTTGTTTAATCACAAGATTATACTCAAGGCCATAGCTAGCTTGTTGCCCGATTGTATTCGGTCAGATATTCTACATCGTGTGCTGCTGCTCATGGTTCGGTGTTAATTTCCCCCGGGCGTAGAGGGAGGGTGCCGCTACGTGGCAGCACTAATGTTAGGGTTAGGGTTAGGGAAATAAGGCCATGTCTAGCATGGAAGTATGACTGTGGAATGACGGAAGTGTACGAAGTGACTAGTGCTGCCAGCCTGCCACGTAGCGGCACCCTCCCTCTACGCCCGGGGGAAAGTGACGCCCCTCGTGGTTGTGGTATGTTGTTCTGTAGTTCGTGCACGCGAGCTCGGCCCGCTCGGCGACGACCTCTGCAAAGGTCGCGACGAGGTCGCCGGAGGTCGCGAGGTCGTCGGAGGTCGCGGCACGCGAGCAGGAGCAGCCGGTGAACCTCGTCACGTCGGAGATCGTCGACGCCGCCGACGACGTGTCGGCGAACGTCACCGTGGAGACGTCGCCCGTGGTAACGCTCATCGCGCAGCCTCCACCGCCGCCTCCGCCGCTGCACACGCTGCCGCCGGCGCCACCTACGCGCGACGCCGAGCCGTTGTCACTGAGACAGTTTCCGGCGCAGTCTGTCACGCCGCCGTCGCTGCCGTCCAGGTGTGCATTGTTATTGTTTTTATACTGTGTTTTAAATTTAATGGTAATAATAATATTATTATTGTGTAACGTCGTGTGAAATTTATGGTAATTAATTTCATATTGTGTCACATTAATACATTTCTTTTGAATCAATCTTATCCCGGCCAAGGAGCTAAACATAACAAGGAGAGGAAGCGAATTGGCTGTGTGCTTTTCGTCTCAAGGGCGCCATCTATGGACCATAATCAGCTGAAACGGCTGTGCAGACTGAACCCAGAGACAATAGAACACTAATCTGTTCTAGGGTCTCTGCCGAACCCAAATTTGGGCCAGATATGGCGGCGCTTCCTCTCCTTGTTATATTTAGCTTCTTGATCCCGGCTATCTTTGATCATTCCCGAGCCGATTCTCACTCGTAACTTTTCTCCCTCGTATATTTCCCGTAGATTTATTCTCTCTGCATTTGTTTTCTGATCGATTAATTTTTTTACCGTCAGGCCTTCGAATGTGATTGGAACGGCACGTAGATTTATTCTCGTGAATTTTTTTTCTGATCTATTTTTTTTTCGCCGACAGGCCATCGAACGTGATCGGCACGCTGGTGTCACACGACATTCTCCTAGGCCGATGGCGTACGACGCTCGACCTTTTCGGGCGAGTGTTCGTCGAAGACGTCGGCGCCGAGCCAGGATCCATCATCTCCGAGCTGGGGGGCTTCCCTGTGAAGGAAGCCAAGTTTCGCCGCGAGATGGAGAAGCTGAGGAACTCGCAGCAGAGGGATCTGTCGATGGAGGTGAGTCTGGCGTGGGTCGAGCCTGTCGTGCGGTTTGCGTCGTTATTTTGCGTGATCGATCGTGTTGTTTAGCGAGCGTGTGCGGTTTCTACGAGTGCGGTCTGTGAGCCGACGCCCGTATCGTATCATAACTGATCCCGGCGTATAGTTTGCGGTGTATCGTTTGCGGTGTATCGAATTGTCTTGTTTAGCGAGCGTGTAAGATTTTTTGTGGCCGTTAATATGAATATAATATGTTAATAGTTGCTAATTGAAATTGAGAAGCTCAGTGTAGGTTAAGTGCATTAAATTGCAACTATTGGTTGTTTTATTTGTTATTATTTATTACAATTATTTATTTATTATTTTATTACCTTCGTTTTGTCAGGAAGTGGTTACTTGAGAAAATTATTAAAGTGTAGTAGGATTTTTTAGATACATTTTATATTGGTGCATATATTTGTATCTTGAAACTTTAAACAGAGCATTTCATTGTCTCTACATTATTCGCGTCATTGTGACATCGATAAAGCGTTGCATGTTAGCTAGCGTGTTCATTGTGATTTTGGCCACCAGGTGGAGCGAGAGCGGCCCCAGCTCATTCAGCAGACGCTGAAGCAACTGAACCAGTTTTACAACAGACGTACAAACACCGTTGGTCCCGTCATGGCAGTGCATCGCGTGAAGGTGAGGGACTTGTTTAGAAACCATAATAGAGTCTATAGAACCTATGTGGAATGGTCAGTCAGGGAATACACCAAAAGTGTCTTTTATGGAAAGGTTTCCTTTCTATAGATGTAACTGTATGACGATGTTTCTTACGATGCAGGTGAGCTTCAAGGAGGAACCTGGAGAGGGCAGCGGTGTAGCGCGCAGTTACTACACGGCTGTTGCCAATGCCTTCCTCTCAGGAGAGAAGCTGCCATCTCTAGACGGCACGCAGATTGGAGTGGGCAAGGGCCTCCAGTACAGTACGTACTTGGCCAAAGAACTACGTAATGATGATTCTTGCCTCATAGCTTTAGTCGCATCGCTCATTGCATGCAGTATAGTACGTACTTGGCCAAAGAACTACGTAATAACGATTCTTGCTTTATGGCCTTAGTCGCATCGCTCATTGCATGCAGTACAGTACGTACTTGGCCAAAGAACTACGTAATAACGAGTATTGCTTCATAGCCGTAGTCGTATCGCTCATTGCATGCAGTACAGTACGTACTTGGCCAAAGAACTACGTAATAATGAATCATGCCTCTTAGCCTTAGTCTTATCGCTCGTTGCATGGAAGTCATGCCACGAAATCGTGGCAATATCAGCTGCTGTATTGCTCAATGCATGTTTGGAAGCCATGAAATAAAGCTTTCATCTCAGCTTCCACTTCAATCATAAGAATCGCAATATGTGTAGGAGCATGTTTTTGTCAAAGAAAAAACAACGGGAGGCAGCATTCGCTTGCGCAAATTTCACCCATTGGCATATCTAGTAGGATTCGATATAATAATTTAAAAATGCTCCAAAGTTTAGTTAGTATAGCTATAAGTTGCACTCTTATTTGAGCAATCTTTATTGTTGTCTTCGTTGTTAGTATAGAACGAACATACATTTGTACAGATATACAGCAATTCTTAGGTTGGCAGACTTGTGAGCTTGCTCTAGCCGCTGTTTTATTATTTGTTATTGAATCAATTTAGCATCATGTAGCGCAGTGTATCACGTAAGCAGATAGAAACAGCTTCTACTTTACACAGACAGAATTAAGACACTCTACGTAACAAATAATAAATTTAATAAATAACTTGACTCTGTGCCTAACAGATCGATGTAGGATAACCTATCAGGCAGCCACCTTACTACGAGTGTATCATCCGTGTTGGTCTCGCTAGATTTAATCCTTGTTACTACTGAACACCTACTTTATACCAGTGGACTAACCCCCCGCTGTAGTATTTACTGTGAAAGCAGCTGCGTGGCCTCGGGTCCAGGAAACAGAGATAGGCACCGCCCTATGCGCCACATTAAAAAACTGGGGAACACTGTTTCACAGCGATTCGTAGGTTTTCCGACTCGCAAGCTCACTCACGTCCGCCGTTCGTCGTAAAAAGCTGTCGACGTGACACTAAAGCCCGGCGCACACGTGAGTTATTTTACTCAAGTAAAATGACGCATGAGTCATTTTACTCACGTGTGCGGCGGATTTTCGTCGAGTAATTTGACGCATGCATCATTTTACTCACGTGTGCGGCGGATTTTCGTCGAGTAATTTGACTCGTGCGTCATTTTACTTGAGTAAAATAACTCACGTGTGCGCCGGGCTTAACGGGCGAACGTTGTTCTTCCTGGCAGACCTGATCCAGCGTCTGCGCACACGCGAGCGGGAGCGAGAGCAGCAGCGTCGCGCCCTGCAGAGGGAGCGCAGCAAGGAGCGTACGTCTCGCCGAACGACCCTCTCCTACGACGCGCGCACGTTCGTCGCGCCGGGGGAGGGCGAGAACGAACACCTGCCCGAGGACAAGAGGCAGCTCGGGGAGAGGCTCTACCCGAAGGTTCAAGCCCTGAGACCCGTAAGGGATTTTAGCATTTGCGCGACGTGGGGGGGTCGCGCGTTGTCTGTCGGTTGTTTTTCGCGTAGCAATGACATTCTCGTGATGTCTAACGCTGTAAAAAGGCTACTCTTAAAGTCTGAGACCTCAGGCTTGTAAGCATCCAAGATTTTAGCGTGTTCTGTTTTTTTTACGTTTCGGTTTGTGTTGTTGTGTCGTGTTTGTTCGGTTTGTTGTTTGTTGTTTGTTTCGCCGCGTGCCTCGGCTCGTGGGTGAGAGCTAGTGAGTGAGTTCTCATGCTGACTCTCTCCTCTCTAACAGACGCTGGCAGGGAAGATCACCGGCATGCTACTGGAGCTGTCGCCAGCTCAGCTGCTGCTGCTGCTTGCGTCCGAAGACTCGCTGATGGGCAGGGTAGAGGAAGCTGTCGAAATCATCATGTCACAGGGTAACAGGTGCGTCGCCATCTCGTCCGACACCGAGCGTTTAAATTTAATTAAATGTAAAATTTAATTTAATTTTTAATTGAAATTTAAGTTTGTGGCGAGGAAAGCGTTGCTTTGCGTTTATTCAGAAGTAGAATAGGACACCACAGCAAGTTGTAGCGCCACGGTGGTGAACATTTCTTTCTAGGAAGACTTATGAAGTGGACTTGATGCTTAACAACACTTTTTGCTAACACGTGCTACAAAGTGAGATAAATACACCGCGTAGAATTTATATCTCTATTTTCACAGCATTTCCCTGTTTCTCTCTCTTTTTTTCACATAAATTCCCAATTTTCCCTCGTTTTTTTAGCCTCTAATTCCCATTTTCCCAATTTTCGATCGACCGCGTGTTACTTGACGCCCCGTGTTTATCTAGGAACTCGGACTCTCCCCTCGATCTGGAACTGTTCAATCTGTCGAGCGAGAAGACGAAACGTCGCAGCAGCGACACAGAGGGAGACGATGAGGAGACTCTAGACGACAGCGCGCCGCTGTTCTACCAGCCGAGCAAGAGAGGCTTCTACTCTCCCCGGCCCGGCAAGAACACCCCGGAGAGGCTCAATTGCTTTAGGAATGTTGGAAGGTAGGCGGGAATTTTCCAATATACCTGCAGATTGGTCAATCGTTTTAGAAATGTGGGAAGGTAGGCGTGGGGAATCTTCCGATGTTCCTGCAGAATGATCGATCGCTTTAGAAATGTGGGAAGGTAGGCGCAGGAATCTTCCGATGTTCCTGCAGAATGATCGATCGCTCTTGAAATGTTGGAAGGTAGGCGCAGGAATCTTCCGATGTTCCTGCAGAATGATCGATCACTCTTGAAATGTTGGAAGGTAGGCGCAGGAATCTTCCGATGTTCCTGCAGAATGATCGATCACTCTTGAAATGTTGGAAGGTAGGCGCAGGATCGTTCCGATGTTCCTGCAGTAATAATCGATCGCATCTGTGGGAGAAGCATCCGATGTTGAGAGTGACGCTCGAAGAGGCGCGACCCGTGCAGAAATCATCCTTGATGGCGAGCCGACTTCGATGTTGCTGCAGAATGATCGAGTCGCTCTTGAAATGTTGGAAGGTGGGCTAGAATCTTCCGACACTGTCCCAACACGCTCGATTGGTTTACAAATGTTGGAACGTAGGATTGAATCTGCTGTATGTTATTATTAAAGAGATTAAGCTTTGTGTTTGAATTGGAAAACGGGTCAATCAGCATTTCGTATGTGGATACCTAACAAAATATTGTAAATCGTGCTGACAATTGCAGGCTTAGTGGTGAACGTTCTATCTGCGGTGACTTTCTTCATGGCTCCTACAGATCCCACAAAAAACGCACACTGCTTATCTATATTTATCGATATGTCATTAACAAAGTTGTCTCTGTTTTTTTTATGCTAGATAATTGAGGCTCTGCCTGCTGTGCAGACGAACTCTGTCCATTCCAACTTCCAACCGTCACGGAATCAGTACGCACCTCGGGCACAAGATCGGCTGCAGCGCCTCGCGTTTTCGACACCCGTCAATGCTACGAGAGCTGCCGAAAAGCTGATCCTGACGCGAGCCGAGGCAGCCAGCCTCATGTTCGCTGCCCTTAGACCTTGATCCTTCAGCATCGACTTTCGGCCGGAGGAGGTAGGAGCAGGGCGACGATGTTGCGAAGCGCGTGACGTATATATTATCGTGTAATATCGGGCTGCTCGTAAGGCGCGCTCCTTGCGTTAGATGCAACCCGAAATTTAGAGGTTATTATGCTATTTTTTTATCTTAACGTAATTGTAAGAAATACGGCGTATAATGGCAATCGCAAATTGCGAAAATTTCCTGCCGATGGCCGTATTAGCTTGTCACATCAGTTGTCTTTCGTCAGCATATTCTATGTAGTGTGTGCTCATGGTTATAAGTATGTAATGTGTAATAATACAGGCATATACGCCAATATAATTGGTTTAATCACAAGATTATCCTCAGGCCATAGCTAGCTTGTTGGCCAGCGATTGTATTCGTCAGTATTATTCTACATCGTGTGCTGCTGGTCAGGGTTAGGAAATAGAGGCGCATGTCTAGCATGGAAGTAGACTGTGGAATGACGGAAGTGTGGAGTCTAGTGCTCGGCCACGCTAGCGCGGCACCCTCCCTCTACGCCCAGGGGGAAAGTGGCGGCCCCCTGCATGGTTGTGGTAATTTGTTCTGTAGGGAAGCAAGACAGGTTTGAGCTGATCACCTCATGGTTGTGGGTATGTTGTTTCTGTAGGGAGGCGAACCAGGTTGAGGCGATCCCTCATGTTGTGTGATGTTGTTCTGTAGGGAGGCGGACAGGTGAGTTCTGATCGCCTCACTGTTGTGGTATGTTGTTGCTGTATGGGAGGCGGACAGGTTTGAGCTGATCCCTCATGGTTGTGTATGTTTGTTTGTAGGAGGCGGACCAGGTTGAGTCTGATCCTGCTATGGTTGTGGTAATTGCTATGTTCTGTAGGGAGGTGGACAAGGTTGATGCTGATGCCTCGATGTGCGATGTTGTTTCTGTAGGGAGGTGGACAGGTTGAGCTGAATCGCTGACATGGATTGTGTATGTTGTTCTTGTAGGGAGGCGGACAAGGTTGAGGCTGATCCCTCATGGTTGGGTATGTTGTTTCTGTAGGGAGGTGGACAGGTTTGAGCTGATTCCCTGCATGGTGTGTGTCATGTTGTTGCTTAGTAGGGAGGGCAGTACAGGTTGGTAGGCTGATCTCATAGGTGTGGTATGTTGTTCTGTAGGGAGGCGACAGTTGAGGCTGAGATTCCATCATGTGTGGTATGTTGTGTTGCTGTAAGAGGAGGCGGACAGGTTGAGCTTGTCGCTCATGATTGTGGTATGTGTTTTCTGTAGGGAGCGACAGGTTGCGCTGATCCCTCATGGTTGTCGGTATGTGTCCTGTAGAGGAGGCGGACAGGTTTGAGGACTGATGCCCTCATGGTTGTCGGTAGTTGTCCCTGAGAGAATGACAGGTTGAGCTGATCCCCTCATGTTGTGGTATGTTTGTTCTGTAGGAGGCGGACAGGTTGGAGCTGATCGCCTCATGGTTGTGGTAGTGTTGTTTAGATAGGAAGGCGGCAGCAGGTTGAGACTTGATCCCTCGATGAGTTTGTGTATGTTGTTCTGTAGGGAGGCGCGACAGGTTGAAGCTATCCTCATGGTATGTGTATGTTGTCTGTAGAGAAGGTGGACAGGTTGAGCTGATCGCCTCATGTTGTGTATGTTGTTCTGTAGCGGAGGCAGACAGGTTGAGCTGATCCCATGCATGGCTTTTGTGGTATGAGTTGTTGTCTGTAAGAGAGCAGACAGGTTGAGCTGATCCGCTCATGGTTTGTGTATGTTGTCCTGTAGGGAAGGCGACAGGTTGAGGTATCCCTCATCGGTTGTGGTATGTTGTTCTGTAGGGAGGCGACAGGTTGAGCTGATCCCTCATGTTGTGGTATGTTGTTCTGTAGGGAGGAGACAGGTTGAGCTGATCCCCTCGTGGTTGTGGTATGTTGTCCTGTAGGGAGGCGGACAGGTTGAGCTGATCCCTCATGGTTGTGGTATGTTGTTCTGTAGGGAGGCGGACAGGTTGAGCTGATCCCTCATGGTTGTGGTATGTTGTTCTGTAGGGAGGCGGACAGGTTGAGCTGATCCCTCATGGTTGTGGTATGTTGTTCTGTAGGGAGGCGGACAGGTTGAGCTGATCCCTCACGGCAGCGAGGTGGAGGTAACACCGCAGAACGTGTACGAGTACGTGCGCCTCTACGCCGAATACCGCATGGTCAAGGTCGCCGAGAAATCGCTGGAAGTAAGAGAGCGATCATTCGGGGCAAAGATCGCTGTTAGGAAACGTTTTTGGGGGTGTTTTCTATTAAAATGGAGTGTTTTAAACAAATTTCAGTTACAGTATGGTAGCGTACAGTAGTGGGCATTAGCAATGTACTTTGTTTAGTTTTACTAGTTTTACTGATATTTAAATAAGGAAAGTGGATGAAGTACAGGTTCCTTTGTTTATAACTCGCTTACTTGCTGGAAATTATGGTTACTTGGCATTTGTTATCAGTTTAATAATTTTATGAAACCTGTCCGGAACAGTGTCATAATTGTGCATAACGTGATATTTATATGTATATGTATGTATGTATATATATATATATAATATACATGTATATATATGTGTGTGTGTCCACATTGGCTACAGGCTAGTTTCATTCGTCTTTATCTTTAACATTCTGTTTACCGCAGAATCTGAAGCAAGGTGTGTTTGATGTGCTGCCCAACAATGCGTTGGATGGATTAACAGCCGAAGATTTCAGACTGCTGCTCAACGGAGTTGGCAAAGTTGACGTTCAGACACTCATAGGCTACACTTCATTCATGAATGAGAGCGGTACGTAGATTAGCTGGTATTAGCATTACTGGTGTTATCTATGCTGAATGACCTCACAGCTCGAATATATAAGTGATGAAATATTGTTGACAGATTTTCATGATTACTCAATTAAACATGATACAAACGTATCGTAATACTAATACATAAGGTTGGGTGTGTTGCTCGATTATTATTGTTTATTGTTTATTGTTTATTATTATTATTGTTTATTGTTTTCTTCGTCGGTAATCTTATAGCATGATGGTGTTGTGTAGACTTATTTGTCATTGTCTGGCTGAATGACAGTGACATGGGGATTTTCGTTGCAGGGGAGAGTGGAGAAAAGCTACTGAGGTTCAAGCGCTGGTTTTGGTCCATCGTGGAAAAGATGAACAATCAGGAGAGACAGGACCTGGTAAGATTGTAACCCATTATTATAGCGAAGATTCCACTTGAAACCGTATGTCTCGCATGCATTTATTATGGATTGGTCGACATTTATTTGTAGGGATTGATTTTTATTATGCGCTTAATTAATTCTTATCCTAAATTAAAATCCAATTCGCTTTCATGACTATCTTAACACGTGGACATCAAAATCTCAGGCTGGGTAAATTATTGGGTTTATCCCACTAATCATTTGTTCTATCTAGACCGCCCATCGTCGCCGGATCTGTGTGGCCAACTAAAACGAAACGAAAATTTTGATGTCTTACTAAATTCCCGCTCGAAAATCTTACAAAATTCCCCGTCACGCGAAATACCCCCATGAAAATTCCTACGTCTCATGAAATTCCCCCGCAGAAAAAAATTCAACGTCTTGCGAAATTTCCCTGCGAAAATTTCGGACATCCCGCGTAATTTCACGTCTTTTTCTTCCACTTCGTGCGTGTGCCCGCGGCAGGTGTACTGAGGTGCCTTCAGCCGTGGCTCGACCCGAAATTTCCTCTGAAATTTCGACGTCTCGCGAAATTTCCTGTAAAAATTTCAACGTCTCGCCAAATAACCGCCCATAACATTTTGTCATCTCGCGAAATTCCTCCAAGAAATTTCGGACGTCTCGCCAAAATTTCCCTGCAACAATTCAACGTCTTGCGAAACTTCCCCGCGAAAATTTCGGACATCCCGCATGATTCAACGTGTTTTTCTTTCCACTTCTTGCGTGTGCGCGCGCGCTCGGCAGGTGTACTTCTGGACGTCGAGCCCGGCGCTGCCGGCGAGCGAGGAGGGCTTCCAGCCCATGCCGACCATCACCGTGCGGCCCGCCGACGACAACCACCTGCCCACAGCGAACACGTGCATCTCGCGCCTCTACATCCCGCTCTACTCGTCCAAGGCCGTGCTCAAGCAGAAGCTGCTGCTCGCCATCAAGACGAAGACGTTCGGATTCGTGTGAACCGGGGGAGTTATAACCCGGGATGATAACTCCGGGGGGTGCCCTCCCCCCTCCCAGAGCCGGAGTCGGCGAGAAAGTGCTCCCGCCCGGCTGTCGTTTTGTTTTCCCGGATGGATGGGAAGTGCGGCGGGGAGTTATCCCCGGCAGTCATCCGGGTGGGGGGTGCCCTCCCCCCTCCCAGAGCCGGAGTCGGCGAGAAAGTGCTCGCACCCGGCTGTCGTTCTGTTTTTCCGGACGGGATGTACGGCGGGGAGTTATCCCCGGCAGTCATCCGGGTGGGGGGTGCCCTCCCCCCTCCCAGAGCCGGAGTCGGCGAGTAAGTGCTCGCGCCCGGCTGTCGTTCTGTTTTCCCGGATGGATGGGAGGTGCGGCGGGGAGTTATTCCCGGCAGTCATCCGGGTGGGGGGTGCCCTCCCCCCTCCCAGAGCCGGAGTCGGCGAGTAAGTGCTCGCGCCCGGCTGTCGTTCTGTTTTTCCGGACGGGATGTACGGCGGGGAGTTATCCCCGGCAGTCATCCGGGTGGAGGGTGCCCTCCCCCCTCCCAGAGCTGGAGTCGGCGAGAAAGTGCTCGCGCCCGGCTGTCGTTCTGTTTTCCCGGACGGGAGGTGCAGTGGGCGGGGGGAGGCAGTGACGCTGTTGTTCCCAGAGCCGGGTTGCAGTGGCGGCGAGAAAATGCACGCTGCGGCTTTTGCCCGGGATTTCGAGATGATCGGTAGGGTAATATTATAGAGAATTCTACTATGAAGAGGACGATGCGGCTTGTTCGCTCGTCCTTGCGACGGCATTTCGAGATTGTCTTCGGAAGTCGGTCGCCGCTCAGAGGCGGCACGGCGTCTGCCGACATTTTTCTATATGCATCTGGATCCCGAGCCTTTCTCGCCTTTCTGTAGGTGATGATATGCACAAGTCGGTATTTCTGATAGCAGGCACGATGCTATGGTAACTATTGTCCAGATACGTGATGCATTCTCCTTACGTTAGCTTGTATACGATGCCAGAACCAACGTTAACTGCATAATAAACATGTTGTGTAAGGCAATTTGTTAGCGTTTATAAACATGCAAAGTACATGTAAAGACAGGGTATGCAAAGATGAATCATTCAGGGTATGCATGATACCTGGTGCTTCATCAATATTAGCACAATTTGTTGCCGCATAGGTTACAGGGATTAAGTCTGGCATTCAGGTGATCTCAAGCACTCTCGGTCCGGCATTTACAGCTGCGAGTACGTGTATATTCCAGCCGACCGTAGGTGTTAAAACTGCCTATCCGCGTGTTGTGCGCGCGAGGCACAGCTCTGCCACACACTGACACATATCAACATGCACGCGTGCTGACTGTTAACCCATGGGTGTGTTCAAGCCTTGGCAGTCGCCGTTTGGCAGGGCTCTGGGCCAAACTGAGAGTGCTCGACTGCAGCTCTCTCTCTACCTGCGTAGCCCCTTGTAGTGGCTGTGTAGAACCTCCTGTAGCGGGAACTAAGAGGCTACACTGGTAGAGATAGCTCTAGAGTATAGCTAGTTGTCAGACGTAACTCCTGCAAAGATAAAGTTCACCCGTTAGGCGCACTATACGCCGCACAGGCGGTTCACAGTAGAAACGTACCTCGCGTGGTCACAGATAAACAAGGGTTGATCGGGAAATGGCTGACTGTCAGTGTGCTGGCCGCGTTAAGAAACAGTTACTATGGTTACTATTATGTACGCCAGTTATAGCATTGTCCACATCTTCAAGCCAGGAATTCAGTAGAGCACGTCAGTGTAATTATATGCAAACACTCACGCGCGCATGCGCACATATATGTACACGTGTATATGTGCAAGTATTTGTTGCACGTGTCCTGTACAAATATGTTGCTCAAAAGGTTTTGTCTGGTAACTGTCTGAGCGTTGGGGCTTCGATCTGGCCCCTGGGGGCAATATACCGGTCGATTTTAATGTGCAGCACGTCGTCGTGTCTGTTTGCGCGGATTGTGTGGACACTGTCATCGCGCGTCTAGCCGTAGTTCTAGTTGTTGGTGTTAAGGATAGGCATCAGCAATAGTGACAGCATCGGAAGGTCTGCATTTGGTGTCTGACCCTGTGAAATATATCCCTTGGTTAATTGTGTAGTAGCGCTTCTTCATGCAATGGGAAGATTAGGTTTCTGTTTATCGATTGGTTTCTTCCAAAAATGTGTCTTTTATTTTTAACTTAATCAGTGTTAGATATGCGACATTTGCAAGGGATATGCAAATTGGCAGTAACACATTTAAAGGAAGTAATTTAATTTAAATGAACGTACCCATGATAAGAAATGCGTAATGAATAAATTTTCAGTCCTTTTTGATAATCTTTTGACAGGGTTGGAATACCTTCTTGTATAATGGTAATTTCTAGTTGTGGCCACAGGTAAATAGTTGGCACTTTATTAAGGTGCCACCTCTATAAAATAAAGATAATGGAAAATTATATACAATAAAACGTAGTATGTCATTTGGGTTCCTGCTATTAAACTGGATTCTACACATATATGCATTTATGTAACAAGTTTTAAGTTCAATAAAACGTAAAAAGTTAATAAGGCAGTATTTGGTTATTATCGGTCATCTATTCAATACACTGTTTACCAGCCATGTGAAGCTTTTATGTTCCCTGTGCGTGCGTGCGTGCGTGCGTGCGTGCGTGCGTGCGTGCGTGCGTGCGTGTGAGCGTGTACGTGTTGGTGTGCGTGTGTGCGCATGCATGTTTGTATGTAGGATCTATTCTGTGGAGCAAGGGGGCAGTTACTATTCCAAAATTTTGCAGAAAAATAAAATAAACGCCAATAATCATGAAAAAAGTGTCATTCGTATTGCAGTCATTGATGAAACATTGTATGGAGCACTCGCGCCACACCACTCACGCTGACTGGCAACTAACTACACCCTCCTCATGTATGACTCGGCGGACTGACGAAAACTTTTTTCTATCCACTTCTAGGAATGTGCGTTGGAGGTTGCCATGAACTTGCTCGTGATGACGTATGCAGCTGCGATCGATTCATTTTTTCATTGGTCAGAATCTATTGCATAACTCACCGTGCACGCGCCTTGCGCCTCCCCCTACAAATGGCCGCTAATTGTATCCCCCGAACGAAGTTCGTGGGGATACTATGGGTTTGGCATCGTCGCGCCGCTGCCGCCGCCGCCGCCGCCGCCGTAGAGATTTCCTTGTGAACGCTCTACCGGCTTCAGTTTTTTTCGGATCATCTTCAAATTTCGCATGAAGGTGCGTTATCGTAAAGCGAAGACGCCTATTGTTTTTGATGTAGGCGGAGTCATCGTTACCATGGTAAGTCAAATTTTCTGTCGCAAATATCTCTACGAACCGTGTAACTTCTGCAGCGTTTTTACCGCCTATTGCCATGAAATTCTACATTTGGTAATTAAAATGTATATTTTAAATTTATATTTAAATTAAAATAATTTAAAAATTAAAGAAATTTTTAAATTTTTTTTATATTTGTATTAAAATTCTGTATTTATATTATATTTAAATTTATGATTGTCATCAAAATATTATATATATATATAGTAGTATAGGACAATTTTAATATCGCGCCTCGTGTGCCAAATTCCGAATGACAATTCCGGTAAAAACAGGCACAAGTTACAGTTCTACAATATTTCGCACAAAAATGTTGTTACCATGGGCAACGATGACTCCGCCACACCATAAAAACGATTGCGTCTTCGCTTACATCACGCACCTTCATGCCAAACTTTGAAGATGATCCGAAGAATGAAGGAAAATAAGAAGATCGGGTAAAAAACTGCCCACCAGGTCACTAGCGACGCTTTAGTTTCACCTTTACCTGATCTTGATCATATTTCTCTTCGCTCTGTAACTCAGGCCCCAATAATTGACGCTAGCGGCGACTTAACTTGTATGTTTACCACATCTTGGGGAGAAGGTCTGTCGCATACCGAAAACCACCACTGTCCTTGACCTTAGTTTGACCTTCACCGTCCGACTTACATTTCCCTCTCGGCCTCGTAGGGTAAGCCAGATTCCATATACTTCGCACATCTGAGGCAGCACGGCAGTTGTCAAACACAACGCTTTGTCTGTTGTGACTTATTTAAGCTTTCACCTGCCTTCTAACGGGTCCTTACAGAGATATTCCATTCATACTAGATCACGGGGGATACATGTAGTTGGCGACAACTGCCCGTTTCTAGTTGTTTTATGGAATTTTAGCTCTCTGTTAATCTCTCTCTTTCAATTTGTATCGCTGCATGTTAATTATCAGGAGTAGATAATAGGGTCCCTATTATCTAATCCTGATGTTATATATGCTGTTATGTCGCATCGAAACGTTAGCGCTGCATGCATGTTATCAACCTTTCCTGTAAGCATTGACCACACACTAACAACGGAGCGGCCTTATTCGTTAACAAAATAATAAATGACTATTGCCGTAGACTCCGAGCAAGAGTTTGGCAATGTATTGTCTAGGTATCACGCACGAACGCATGCACGCACGCACGCACGCACGCACGCACGCACGCATTGTGGCATTGTGATGATTAGTAAGTATGTTTACCTGCGTGTTGCTGCCTACCGTGTGTCGTAACACACGTTACTCAATCACCACCAAAGGAGCGCGTCGTCTGCAATGTTATCAGAGCATATAAATCGCAGGTGATTTATATGCTCTGGTGTTATACAACCAACTATACAACCGACAATCGGCAGTGTAAACGCAAAAGTCGCGCGACCAACCGATCGATAGCAACTAGTTGGGAGATTAGAACCACAGGCACTTGGACCGTTTCAATAATAAAATGATGGTTAATAAATACAACTTGTCAGTACTAGACCTACCAGTACCAGTAATAATGTTTGATTTGACCTAATAACTTCACTTCAACACCGTCCAATACATCGCTGCAACACATAGCGCGCACGCCATTGTGCATGCAAACACTATTACTGGTACTGGTAGGTCTAGTACTGACAAGTTGTATTTATTAACCATCATTTTATTATTGAAACGGTCCAAGTGCCTGTGATTAGAACATGTTCTATTTTTGCCAACTCGGAGTTGCCGAATTGCGAAATTGGTCCAACTCGCCAATTCGCTAACATAAAGTCGGTAGTGTAAACCCAGCGTGCGTGCGTGCCCACGAGCGTTAATTTGCTCATTCATCTGCGATTCCACGCGCTTTTCGCCCTATGGTTTCAGATCGCATATTATTTTGTTGCTGTTTTTATCAGGAAAGTGCGAAAGGTGCACTTACTATCCGGGCAAGACAGGCGTGCGTTCTTTCGGCCTTTTTCCAGCATGTGATCTTGGCACAAACCTTCAGCGAAGCTGCAGTCACTTGTAGCGCGAGGTTCGACGGGTCTACTACCCTGGCAAGCTACAATATTTCTGACGAACACAACTTCACCGTATTCCTTATGTCTGTGTGGCGTTCTCAATAGATCATATCAAAGAGCAAATAAACTCTTAGAGTTACATGTAAAGAAAAGCTGCTTTCTCCAAAACTTCTCAAATTTGTGTTAGTAAGATCACCGGCAGGTGCATCGATACGGATATGAAACCAATGTATGAACTTTAATACATATAATATTTAAATACACGAAAACACTGCCATACTATCAGGAGCTTATAAATGGAATTTCCCCATTTATAAGCTCCTGATACTATTACCGAATAAACGGATAACAAACGCTAGAATTGCTTTTATGCTCAACAGATGTGCCTGGCATTAAATTTTATTATGGCGTGGCGGTTAAACCCACAGATCTATAAACGTATGTGTTGTTGAACGGTGACCAAATTATGATAGAACGTGGATTCGTTGACAGATTTACAATAGACCCGTGTCTGTGTACACCCGCGCGCAAATATAACATGCATGCATCACCTGCAAAAGCACAAACGAGCAAACATGATTTGTTGCGATATATTGTTATGTCTACAGTTATACAATGTGGACATCACATTTTCGCATCTATTGCATCAATTTCCACTAATGGGCACACGCATGTACGTGTTCCCTCCCATCGCACGCGTTTCGTGCCACTCTCCCTCCGTCTGTCATTGAGTCACGGTCTAGTAGAAGTCAATGTTGAGCATCATGTTTCCTAATGAATGGATATCTGGCGGTAACGCTGTGGAAGAGCGCCATGGGGATAATGACGAGAACAGAGCGACTGGCGGTAAAGACAATCTGTACGACGCGCTGCGACCTCTGCTCAGATGCATGAAGCTGTTCGGGATGTGGCCCGTGAGAGAGACGCCGCCAGGAGAGACACGCGTGACGCAGGGATGCTGCGCTGCCATCTACTCAGCCGTTATACTAACTATAATACTCGCGGCACACACATGCGTGTGGATCGTATGCTTGAAGATATTGCTTGTTAGCCAAGATCTACACGCATTCTTAGGGACGGTTTCGTTAACGTCTATATTCCTGCAGCACTGGATAAACATTTGGTTCTTTTTAACGCGAAGAAGTCAGCTATCAAGCTATCATCACGGCTGGAAGCACGCCTTTGTACCGGAAAACAAAATTGCGTCGATTACATGTAAAATCTCTGCTAACCACGTGGATGTTTACAACAAAGCTAGAAATTCTGCCGTGAGGGCTGTTGTGTTAGCAGTAGTTTTTAGTCTTTTCATCATTGTAGGGTACGCTGGCTTACCTTTTATCTCTTCCTATATGAGCACTACATTAAGTGAGTCAGATACTCCCTCGCAAGAGAGCTATATGATTTTGTTAATTGCGGTATTCACCTCTGTAATGCTGGCAAATTACACAGTTACTTTACCAATCTCTCTAGTCAGCTGTTTAGGCGAGGTACTCATACCAGAGTTCTCCAAGTTAACGACAATACTCGAAGATCTTGTGAAAGAGATGAATGACGAGACATCGGCACACTTACACTGCCGAGAAAATTTTCCGCACATCCGTGTTTGTAAACGAGTGAGACGCCGCCACCAGTACCTCTGCACACTAGTGGCGGGTATCGACGCCATGTTTGGACCTATTTTTCTCACGACATGCGGGACATCTCTAATCATATTGTCTATTGAAATGTACTTTACATATGTATCCTTAACGATGCAGGGCTTTGGCATAGGCACTGTAGTTAACACGCTCGCAACTCTAGCATATTCGGCAGTACTTGTACGCAACTACGTGAACCTGTGTATGTCAGCATCCAGGATCATGGAAATGGTAGGTCCAGATATCTTCTGTATTTTCTCATGAGCATCATGTGTTTATATATACATGAACGAGAAATAGAAACGAGAAATGAATATATATATATATA